GGAATGTTGCCGACAGCAGAGTGATTTCTCGACAGATCCTGTATTCCTCACCCTGCTGTTGGCAAACCTGCGTCTAAACTGCGGTTTCAGTTTCAAAATGGCGCTTGTTCGAAACAGCGCTAGAATGCAATTATGCAAATTAAGTGCGGGATATTTAAATCCCCGCTTCATTTGCACTTCGATGTGCTTTATTTACATCCCTCTGCCGACAGGGGTGTAATATAGACATAGCCCATGAGGTACAAGAGTAGTGGGATTTTTAACTAAAGGCCATTTCCCTCCTGTTCTACAGCCCAGCTAAACAGGGACAGGGCAGAGGAGGGTATGCAGGGACCATGCATTTGTCCCACAGCCTTGAAAACAAACCCCTAACCAATTTTTTGACAATTCTTATCTCCTCCATTCAAGTTTTCTTGCCCTTGCATGGCAAGTTGGTTACTACATGACAACACGCACAACACTGAACTGACACATGCCTCAAGATTTCAATGCTTCTGTATTAAAGTGCAATGCAAAAGTTACAAACATTCATGGCAGCACATTTTTAATTCCAGAAAGTTTAGAGAATCTTTGACTCAGATTAAAAAGGTTTCTTAGAAAAAAAAAGTTCCTCCCTTGCAGATGGCTGCTAATATGGAGGAATGTCAGGCAACTACAGGAATACACTGCGCTTTGTGAGAGTCTTGTTTGTATCACAGCCCTGGCACATCAGGAGCAAAGCGGAAAACATTCCCTACCCCTGCGTGAGAGCAAGGGGTGGGAAACAGGGCTGAGCAGGCCCTACGCTGGGAATCAAAGGTTCCCCACTACACAAGTGCAATTCTCTTTGGAGAGCAAGTTCGCAGGACATCAGCTCCTAAGGGAGAAGAGAAGGTCCCAGCTGCTCGATTCTCAGTAACATCCGAGGATTAGTGGTAAGAGCTACATTATAAAAAACACTGGTTTTGGATTATGACTGGACACTGCCTCACTTTTGGGGGCAACACCATGCAAGCAGTAAGAGCCATCTAGTTATCCCAACTCCCCAAAAGAATTAGAACCCAACCCATCCACTGGGATTCCCTTCCCTACCCCCTGCTGTTCAGATACCAGCATTCACACCAGCACGGAAGACAGACGCCTCCCACTTCTGTCCCTGCTGGTCTAAAGTTGCTCACTCAGAGCAATAGCTTCTTTCCCTGTCCCTATGGTGAGGCTGTTGCCAAGGGCTATTCTCTCCTTGGTGGAGCATAGTCTGCCATAGAGTAGAATACCCTAACACTTCTCACTCAGCTGAACACAGCCCTGCTGCACAGGGGGCTAGTTTCCAGGAGAATGAAAGGAATACAGATTAATTCGCACCCCCACTTGCTCAGAGCTCTTTCACCCAGATTCCACTCCCCTCACGCAATCCCCATTTGCTTTTCTACACCCCTTCTACACAGGCTTGCTGCTTTTAGAAAGCTGCTGCCCAGCTCCAGTTCAAATGCACAAGTCCCTCCCAAGGATTTCATTAGCCACCAGCATCAGGTGAACAAAGTCTGGCTTTCACTGCACTGAAGAGACCTGCCAACACATCCTCCCTCCTCAAAAGTTCATTTACAATACAGAAGAGCATCTTGTCACAATACAGTGGAGAGAGGAGGGGGAGGAACCAGGCTCCACCACACCCCCACAGGTGGGCATCTCTTCCTGCCATCACCCATTTTGAGAGAGGCAGGTTTCCTGGGAAAGGAGACAGACAGGAGCATGCATAAGGCTTTGCAGTGTCTGAGGCAGGTGCGCAACTGCACCTGGGTTTGCGCCTCTTGCCCGCAGGGCCAGTGACTTAGCCAAAGCCAGTTCACATTCCCTTAGCTAGCTGTTGAGCTTGGTCTCTTCACACCAATGCCCATTCTGCAAAATGCTTAGCTACTCTGAGCATCTCGGGAACGGTTTCCCAGATTGCAAGGTGGCCCAATTCCAGCAATGCGGATATGACACACAAGCCTCCAGTGCTTCACTCAATTCCCTTACCAAGGGAACAGCACCAGTAAAAAATGTAACATGCTCCTCCTTTATACCAGCGTG